TCTGCGAGCCATGCACTTCCTTTTTCATAATGTTCCTGCCAGGAGGGAAGACTTCACTAGCCTGACAGGGTCCTCCTGCTTTCCCTTACCATTTTGTGGCCATAGATGGGTTGAAAACGTTCCTGTGGCAGAGAGAGCAGTTGAAGTTTGGCCAGTGATTAAGACATATGTGGATGCTGCAGAGAAAAAGAGGGTCCCAGTCCCCTGCACAGCCTCATATGACACCATAGTAACAGCACAAAAAGATCCTTTCATTATTGCAAAACTCCAGTTCTTTCTGGCAATTGCAAGGACTTTCAACCCCTTCTTGACAAAGTTCTTCATTGCACATTTTATGTAGTTTGTTTTATTTTTATTCATGAAGTGAAATAAATATGTGCAATATGTGGTCAACATCAGTGAGTCTCTAAATCTATTCTGTTGTGTATAGTGTTATATATGTCAAAATCTGCTTCAACATTAATAAGGTCGCTGATTAACACTTGAAACTCAAGTGTCATGATGGTTTTAAAAAAAATCCAAAGGTAGTAAAAAAAGGTATTAAATTTAACTTAAGGATTGCTGTATATACCCTGGTGCCGCTGTGCCCCCCATGAATACACTTAATACAAAATTGGATTTGGCAGATCGAGTCTTTTCTTAATTTGCTCATCCAGCCGGGCCCTCAAATTGGTCTCTGTCCTCTCTCCTTCCGCTGCAGGGCACACTTGAGGCCCTGTGTGATCTGAAGGTGCATAGCCTTGTCCTGCTCATACTTCACGCGAGCCTTCTTCAGTGAATCTGTTTGGCTCTTAGAGAGCTCTTTATATTTGCTCAACGGCCCAATAAAGAAAGTTTTCTTTTTTTGCCACTAGACACGGCAACACTCAAGCTGTTGTTCAGTGTCTTTTAGAGCTGCTGAGAGATCCTTGTTCTCTTGCAGTAAATCCTTGTTCTCAGTCTCACTGGAGGCTCTGCATTTCTCAAGTTCATTTAGCAGGATGGCTTTCTCCTTTTGCAAGCAAAGGTTCTCAAACTTTAGACTTTCTGCCTTTGAGAGTTCAGCTTTCATCTTTCTGGTCTCTGCTCTCTGTTGCTCCAGCTGGGCCTACAAGGAGTTCTCTGTGCTCTCCCACTCCTGCTCCTTTCTCTGCAGGGAACTCTTCAGGTCCTGTATGGTCTGAAGGTGTGTTGCCTTGTCCTGCTCATACTTCATGTGAGCCTTCTTCTGGACATTTGTTTGGCCCGTTAAGAGCTGTTTATATGTGTCCAACTTAGAAGCAGAGAAGGCTTTCTCTTTTTGCCACTGGACTTGGCAACACTGAAGCTGTTCTTCAGCCTGTTTTAGTGCTGCCACGAGATCCTTCTTCTCTGCCAGTAGATCTTTGTGCTCAGTCCCACTGGAGGCTTTGTATTCCTCAATTTCTTCTAGCAGGACAGCTTTCTCCTTTTGCAAGCAAAGGGTCACACTCTAGACTTTCTGCCTTTGAGAGTTCAGCTTCCATCTTTCTGGTCTCTGCTCTCTGTTGCTCCAGCTGGGCCTTCAAGGAGTTCTCTGTGCTCTCCTTTCTCTGCAGGGAACTCTTCAGGTCCTGTATGGTCTGAAGGTGCATAGCCTTGTCCTGCTCATACTCATTCTCAGTCTCACTGGAGGCTCTGCATTTCTCTATTTCATCCATCAAGGAGGCCTTCTCCTGTTTCCACTGGAGACGCTCATTCTCTGCCTTCTCATTGGCTGACTGTAGATTGGCCACAAACTGCTGTTCCTTTTCACTTTGCTGCTCTAACTGGGCAGCATAGCAGCTCTGGGTTTTGTTCAAAGCTAACACAGAAAGGTGATGAAGGTTCTAGGGTTTTCCTCTGTTGAACCTTAGTGTTTTTGTGCCACTTCTGTGTTTGTTTCTTAGAGCTCTGTGTACACCCCATAGTGAAATATAACGTGCAAATGTTATACAGTAAAAAACTGAAATTCTTGACTTCTCAAGTCTGATGACTTCTCCAAATCAAAATGCAGCTTCTCTCTATCTGTGGTTTTGTGGTTCTGAAGGCTTGGCCTGCTGGTACCCATCAGCATTCGAGCCCCAACCCCGGGCCTGGCTCCAGGGTGGGGCCCCGGCTGCGCCATGCCGGGCGATGTCACGGTCCTTGGTCAAATTCTACTCATAAAGGGCTTTTCCTAAATCAATTAATTACAAATTGTATGTTGAGAAATTATCATTACTTCTACAGTGTGTGTACAGCACATGGGCAGCATGTCTCTGAAGCATGTGTGTGCCAGAATGTTCCGCCACAGCTGACAGGAAGTCACAGTAATGAAAAATCTTGCGTATCATTATGATACAAATGGTTTTATAGAGTTAACTTTGTCAAATGCTTTCTCTGCATCTAGTGATAAAATTATGGTTTTGGTTAGTTTTTGTTGTATAGGATTAATCAAATTAAATAATCTATGGATGCTATCTGAAGCATTTCTGCTTTTAATGAAACCCGTTTGGGCTGGGGGGATTA